AACCCGTGCACGTTAATTGAACGTTTTGTGGGATATATACAAGTTATGCACGTATGCAATGAATTGTCAATACAAGTGTATGGAAGTTTGTTTTTATTGAAAATAATTACGTTGTGACTACGTTTTTTAACGATTCACACATAATATCCGGCGACAACCGTGAGATGTACGTGCACGTACTTAATATATAATTTGTCGTCGACAGAAAATTCGATTTTCCGCCACACATTCTCAATCTCCTTGCCAAATTATCATCGTATGGCATTCAGAATCGTATCTAAGGAATGCTCCAGACTGGTTTAATCACAGTCATGTGATTCAGAAGTTGAGTCCTAATAAATTTCAATTAATGGTTATGGACAAAACTGAAAAAATCAATGTGAGAGTGTTGTAAGTATTCGTCTTTGATCATTGCAGTGGTTACATAACCATCCCAAATAAAGGTAATCCAACTTTCTATTTCGGGTAAAGTGCAGCACTTAAGAGAATTCAGAAATTTCAAGCTGCCAAGAGTACATAACTTGGCTGTACTCAATTCGGCTAAATGCGTTACTAATTTTTAACCTGATCTTAAACATGCTGTTTTTAATACTTAATACATTGTCTATAAATTTCATGAATTTTTCCTTTGCCTTTTGCTCATTTTCTTCTAACCGTTGTTTATCAATGTATTATTGCCCAGTGTTGTACCTCAATATATTTGATGGCATATGAATGTATTTTTATATTACACTGTAAAGGGGTTAATTATTCACTGGGTTTTAGTTTTCCTTATTTTGTTGACTGGAAATTGCGCTAAATTAAACCCCAGTGAATATGTAAAATTTAGCATAGAACACATTATCTAAATGATAAAACCGTGAATTTAAAACCCTGGGAATGTGCCTGAAATGGTAAATCAGCGAAATTTAAACCCAGTGAAAATTAGTCATTTTACAGTAATACCGGTAATTATTACATAAGCACTTTATAAAACCTTTTCCGGTTTTGTCAAGTTTGTTTGTTGTCGAGACAAAATGTATTAATCACACTTACAATACTTTTCTCTGGGAACTAAAACAACATTTCAATATAATTTCAAACAGTGTATGCGTAATACTCTGATGAAATTTGAATCTCCAAGCGCTGCCAACAGCAGAGTGCCCAATTCCATTAATCCACGCGGTACTCCGCCATACGTCTCATTCTTCGGCTACATTAATAGGTTGATAAGACAATGTAACAACCCACAAACTATACAAATAATTGATATCACAACCTGGTGCTTGAGTTGGTAGTGAAATGTTGTAGACTGCCTTTATTCGGTGAAGTATTTAATTTAGTCAGAATATAATTAAGTCAAAACATTATACAACATAAAACTATATTACAATTTCCTAATGTCATGGGCATCCATTTTGCATAAAATTACGTCACAGTTACTGTTACGTTACGGTTAGTTAGATCAATGATAGATATAACGTGACGTATACCTAGGCATCGATCCATATAAATAAACCGACCAGATCAAGTAGTCTACAGCAAATTTGTTATCTGCATATACGCTTATTAATCAGTAAATGCTGTCCCAGATGTAGCCTGTTTTTATTTATGTATTTGTACGTTCGTTCATTCATTCAAAGGCAAAGGCAGCGCAGTGTCACATGGAGAGGAAATATACGGAAATCTGTTTTATATGTAGCGCCCTCTAGTGACGTAGAGATGGTGTAGATGAGAAAAAGCAATGTAGTTCACGGCGACAGTAGTTTTTTGCTCATCTGTTACAATAATATTTTTAATTGACAGACAAACTACGGATTCTAACTCAGGGTGCGAATGGCTTCCCGCTCACAATTTGCGTTTCGGAAACACCTCATCCCTTCGTTCCCTACTGCACTGTGCTTGTATACAAATGTACATGATGTACTGGAAATAAAATCAGTCTGTAATTCTAGTTAATAGTCACCTGATATGAACACTTCGTCAGCTTAATAGTTATAAATTATCACTTTTTATCGGAAATTCGGCCCACAGGCATTCTCTCTGTATTGTCTCCATTGCGAGTTCATCATTTCAGCATGAGCCAATAGAGGGCGCACTTCACTAATATTAGTGGGATCTTACAGATGGACGAATTTGTTAAGGCGCATTCGTGGCATGTTATCGCAATATCTGTAGCTCAAGTAAGTCTATGTTGTGAGAAACTGTGTTGATAATTATTATTTAAAGTTTTTATTCGAAAGTTTGCATTAAAGTAATATACTCATAGATGTTCTTTTGTGCAACTTTTGTCATTGTCTAAAATCGCAGTCTATAAATGTGTCCGGAAGATTGTATGTCATTTTAACACCGGTTTCTCCAAGATGGCTTGCATGATTCTGCATACTGGATTTTGATTGCAGTTACAGACAATAATGTAAGGTATAATAAAGCTATACATGACAGACAATACGCTTTTTTTCATCATCAATGAGATTAATTAAGCAGTGGTTAATTATATTTGGATGAACTTCATAAATGTATCAGTACTATTGTTAGATATTACCTGTATATGAATATGTAAACATAGATGATAATATACCTACCAAGTCAGCTACAATATGCAAACATCAGTCGCAGTTGGACAGATTTCAGCATCACTAACACCTGCATTTTGTATGAACAATGCATGAAGATAAACCTACCATATACTGTAATATGCAAAATCGCTGATTTGAATAAATTGGCTTGGGTTTATTCATATTTATGGTTGCTTTAAAAGTCACCTTTCTCAAGTTTTTAATTAGTTGGCAGGTATAGCATAAAGTTGTCGATTCAGTTCAGACAGAAACACGATTCCAAATAAATGACCAAGGTATGTCACAGAATTGGTTATTGAAAATCCTTTTTGTGGAAACAAATACCCTGCTATCTCGTAATATTCAAATCATATCACCTGAATACCATTGAGACACATTTGAGTTCCAAGTTTGAACCCAGCATTTTTGGTTTAATCTTACAGTAAAGTCTCGGGTAAATTTTATGAGAAAGATTTGAATGAAGAAACAAGTCAAAGCAGAGGCAAGTTAGATGGCTTCTCAGAATTTCAGTATCCTACTAATGTCTAGTTGGTTGCTAAGTTACGGATATAGTAAGGTTTCATGAATATGGCCCCAGCAATATATTCCAGTAAAGTGGTTAACATGCCACAGCGTCTGTACATTTGTGCTTTTCAGATAGAGAGTTCAACACAATAGTTATATTCATGTAGTTTATTTTCTTTCTTAATAAGAATATCAAACAAAGACTCAACATGGCAGTTGATGAATTTAAATTTATACAAGTCTTTTCAACTGGGAATATAGAGAAAAAAATTAAATCTGGTTTTCTGCATATATTCTAAAATCATTTCACAAGTGCATATGTGAGATCAAATTTAATTTTTGAGTCCCTGAATTTTATATAAGAGATATGTAAATTGAGTATTTGTGTCACCCTCAATTAGGGGTAAGTGTCGCAGGAATGATGGGAGCCATTGAAAATTGGATAAAACGATTTGAAAGGAATGTACCGGAGAAATTCATGCAAAACATTTTTTAAACTAAATGTGACATGAAGATTCCAAATTATGAAGTGACCTGACAGAGAGCACCTCAGGAAATATATATTGCTTGATCCATTCCTGTGCGACATAATAAACTGGAATTTGATATATATTTGGAATTAAAAGATTTTCAAATTTTTGCGAGATGCATAAATGGAACAGTTGCTTTTTCAAAGCATTATGACATTTTAAGCAGAGGCTTCATGAGCGAAGTAGTTTACAGCACCAATGGTCATCTTGGATTTATTCAAACTGTATAGATATGTCCTCTGAGTAACCTGTGGTTACATGAAGGCGAGTCATTAACTACTACTGCAACACGATTACATTTTCCCGTTCACTGTGGAATCCCGCATTATGCAAGAAATCTAACATAAAAACAGGACAAACAAAGTCACAGCATTGTAGTGAAGTTAAAAACATCATGTAGGATTCAAAATTTGAATTCAAATGATTCTTTGCAGCAGACATCTGCACCTTTCACGCATTATGCAAGATCTCGCAGTAAACGAAAATAATTAGTGTTGCTGAAGCACCCAAGTGATCATAGCTTCATGTTAGTAGTGTAAACCACAAATAAGCATGAAGTCTGCAGATGGTCCTCTGGAAAAGCACCATTGTAGCTAATTTACGAAATAATAAAATCAGATTTGTCTTCACTGCAGTACAAAATAGAAGCTCCTGTCTTATAAAAGCTCTACTGAATATTACACTCAAATGCTGAAATAACAGTCAAGTAGTGGGTGAAGAAAATAACATGGAAAGGAAACAGAAGGAGGAATTGCAAGAGTTCCAGCTTTCATAACTTTAACATGCATAAATGGGATGTACAGAAACCCCAATATTCCACAACGTTAGATAAGGATTTGATTTCCATTACAAGGGGAAAAAATTAAATAAAAACTTGAAAAAAATACTCAAGCAATGTTATTTACTACGATTACGCCTAAACCAATTTTTGAATTAAAACACAGAAAGTGACAGAAAGTTGAACACTAAGAAAACATCTGATGAAAGGGTAAACATGCACATAGTTAATATCCAGCAATGCCACTGGGTTAAAAACGCCAAATAAACTTGTCACTACAAAGTGAAAGGTCAGACACATC